TTGAGATTCCCAAAATGACAAAAAATAACGAGGGGAACATATGTTGCAAAAGTCAAAAATAAACACTTTTTTTCCTGTATAATAGCATAATTTTTAATATAAAAATGTGACGAGCAGTTAAAACAGTTCAAACAAGAGATACAATAAAGGTAGTTTAACACCATTTCAGATAACAAAATGAAATGATCTTTGTAAAATCTGCTTTGGCCAGTATTGTCAAAATATACATGGAACTGAAAGGTTCTTTAAAATTCCCAATCTCCTTAATAGACAATGTTCCTGTGTAAATGCACACATTATTTATATTATGCAGTAAAACATCAATCCTGAAATCTTGAGTTAGCACAGTTCCACTTTGAGCAACACCCTTAATAATTGTCTAACTTTTCTTTAATCACAAAATACATTGGTTTTTAAACAATGATGTAATCGATACTGTTTTAGGATTTATTGAACTAACAACTAATGAAAATGTGTGACTGTGGCAGTAATAATTTTTTGACTGTTGCTATTTAATTGTAGCTTTTATTCTTCATATCCTATTATATTAATGGCCCTCGGTATGAAATTATCCTAATTTACCATTTTACTCTTCTAATGATAATTCAAAGCTTAAAAAATTGCCAGCAAGTGGAAACATCGTTCATACACCCTCTGAAAACCTTTCATACACTTGAAAAATTATATCACCTAAAATTCATCTATGTACTAAGTTGAGGACAGAAAACAAAAAATTAAGTTGTACCTTAAATTTCAGGAAATGCTTTATAGCGTACTGACACTACAGCTTACTCAAGTTACTTCTTGACCTTAACGATAAAAAGATTTAAATCTGCCACTATATGGGATTAAATAGTGCTTCATTATAGAGGATTAAAATTGAGAAGGGAGAAGACAGGGTGTATTGAGTTAACGAAAGGATTTATGGATGAGGACAACGACCTTGTGGATGATGTGTCAGCAAGGCTCAGCAATTAAATGGACAGAATTTAGTTTGAGCTAGAATCCAGGCAACTGAGTTCTGGATGAATTGGGAGTTGATGGAAATTAGACTCAAAATTGGCAAACACACAAATGGAGATTTTCAGTGGTGGAAAGGGAGCTAGAGGAGGCATATGACATCAATGGCAATCTACCAATATGCATTTAGTTATGTATAATTGTGGATAAAACTGGAAGGATTTCTATAAATAAAGCAACATGTATTCATCACAGACACGATATTGTCAATAATTACTATAATTTCACACAGATATTTTTGAGAGGACAGTGCCAGCATTTTGACTTTAGTTCTAACAGTTACGGCCAAATTATTCCTTAATGTTAAGGCAGTGCAGTGAGGTTGATAGCAAATTTTGAATTTTTGTACCGAATCTTCCAATACCACGGAATATTGTCAGTTTCAAACCAAATCAAATCAAAGAAAGCAGCCTCAGCACTAGCAATATTTGTAAAAGGTTGGAAGAAAGATCCTGCGGAATTTATAAATCGATGAGTAAAAGGGCAACACATGTACACAAATTTGGAAAGAGAATTAAATCAGCATTCCAGGTAGATATCTGTCATCATAGGACCATAGATTATTGCACATAAAAAGAGATACAACATTTGAACATCTGTAATTTTTAAAAAATGTACAACAATATTATAACAAGGTGCCTTAGGCATGAATGAGAAACTAGATCGATTGCAGTTTGCCAAAACAGATGAGTAATACCTTTGATATTTGAATACCTACTTAGATACAAAAGACTAAATTAAATACAAATTTTTGCACACAAATTAGATGACTTCAGTTTATCCACAATTAAAAAGCATTTCCTTTTGTTTAACATTGACTTTTTATTTCTTTAGTTATCTCCATCTCTTCTCCCAATTTTGCTATTAAGTTTCATATATTTGCATTTTTAGGGGAGCTTCTCAGTAACAGAAGCTACCAAAGAGTTTTACATTGAAGGGAAAAGTTTTCTTTTCACTGACACAAAGTCAATGAAGTAAAATCTTATCAACATTCATAACTAGTCAACTTAAAATGCTTTTTGACCATTTTGAGAAATGTGCCAAATTGTTTCAAAGATTTCTGGATTTAAAAATGCTCCCTATTTTCAGACTTGCATTTGGTTCTGATTATTACTTAAAAAAGAAACATCTTTTTCATTGATTTTTTTTTCAGATGTAAACAGTATATTCATAATTCAAATTTTAAGTAATTAGTTCATTCAGTGTTGTTGGGTCAAAATCCTGAAACTCCCTTCTTATCAGCACTGTGGGTGTACCTACACACAAAGGACTGGAGCAGTGCAGCACGACCTTCTCCAGGACAATATATGCTGACCCAGCCAGTGACACCCACACCCACATCCGATGAATGACTAAAAGAACAAAAGAAGCCTGTCAGGATTTGCTTTGAAAGTCAATCCCTCATATTCACAATTCTAAAGCAAAAAAGACTTTATATTTGTCAACTGTGATAAATCGGGTGGCCAATGGAGGTGTGCTTGATCAGTTGAAATATTCAGAGCAGAGAAGTTACCAATTTAATTCCATGCTACTAATAATCTGGTTCATCTCAGTTAAGATGGCAGAGGGGGGTGCCTCAGAACCAGAATTATGGAGGCAAAAATTGACTGGAGTTTCAACACCGAGTTCTTGTTGGAAGTGTGTACATGAAGGTGCCAGATGCAAAAAAAGTTCAAGCTTGGCTGCAGCACTGGTTGAAATGCCTGCAGATGATCATTTTCATGACTCACACATAAAAGATGGGGAATTCTCATATTTTGACTTAGGCTCTCAACTTCTAAACAAGAGAGAGAAGTGTACTGAACCATGGGAACATCACTCCAAGTTTCTTGCCAATCCACACATGATTTCAATTTGGACATACATTCCTGCTCCTTCCATCATTGCTAGGCTAAATTTCTGGAATTCTCCACCCAACAACATTGCGTGGGTATCCTCAGTACATGTTGTAACATAGTTGCCAAGAATGGAGGGTTTGAGACATAAAAACAGACTGGAAAGACTGGGACTTTTTTCAGTGGGATGTAGGAGTTTGAGAGGTGACCTTACTGAGGTTTATAAAATCATGAGGGGCATAGATAATATGAATGACAAGGATCATTTTCCTCAGGTAGGGGAGTTCAATACTAGGAGGGTTATACTTAAGGTGAGAGAAGAAAGATTTAAAAAGGACGCCAGGCAACTAGCGTGTGGAATGACTGCCAGACAAAGTGGTGGATGCAGGTAAAGTTGCAACATTTAAAAGACGTTTGGATAAGGGCAGGCAAGTAGGACTAACTTAGCTTGGGAACATGCTAAGCGTGGACTGGTTAGACCGAAGCAATTGTTTTCAAGCTGTATCATTCAATGACTCTATAATTCACCAGTACTTTTTCCAAGTTAGCTAGAAAACAGCTATGAATGTGTTAGTGTTTCAATACTTCCAGAACATTTTTAAAATAAATGACAACTTGGGCAGTGTTCCAGAGAATGAGTGAACCATTGTAGAACCAAATGCCAGTAAGGAGGAGAAGAAATGGAAACAAAGTTGATAAGAAATATGTCAATTGAAAGCCAACCTATATATACATACTGGTATATTCATAACTCATTGATCACTAACCATATATCCAACAACATTTGCTTTTGTTGCCAAATCTTTCCTGCCAATAGTAGTAAAACTCTGACTGTGGGTAGCCTTCTAACACTCGGCCTACTGGCTTTTTTAAAATGAAAACCTAGACAGTGATGTAGTAGAGACATTTGCTTACAGAAGACAGGCACCAGCCAAATCCAATCTTTTACTACTCATGTCCACACATACCCACTTTCCAACTGAAAGCACTAGATAATAACCAGGATCAGAAGCATTGGTTGGCATTTTCCCTCCCTCGCCCATGGAGAGACCAAGTGCAGTGTGTATGCTGCCTGTTGACCTGATATCAGCTAACTCAGCATGAATAGTGAATCAAAACTAGTATTCAAATAAAGAAAAAAAAAGAATCTAGATTCTTAAAATTTTAGTTTCTCTTAAAAGCTCTTCAACTTCTATCTAAATTACTCCATGGTGTTCCCACTGGCTTTGCAATGAATACTGTACAACGTAAGATGAATCAGTTAAAATAATATTGGATTTGAAAAGATGTACATCTTAGAAAAAAACAGGATCACTTATGGCAGGAGGGAAAATTATGCCTCATTTATATGATGTTGCCATGTTAGAATGGGAAAAAAAGGATTTTAATTAATGACCTGTTAGCATTTTTGATTAATCATCAACAAGAATTATTACATTTGAGTAAAGATGTTCTAAAGAAGAGTCATAACAGACTTGAAAAGTGAGCTGTTTCTCTCTGCACAGATGCTGACAGAACTGCTGAGTTTTTCCAGTATTCATTGTTGGTTTAAGAACTATTCTATCTTTCACTAGTTCATATCTCACAGCACCACAGTGAAACAAATCAGCCCAAACAAGTTGGCAACTGAAGTATGGAATTCTAGCCTTTATGTCATGCATTGCATGTTTCCTCCTTTTTAACAGTCACCACTTTTCTAATAATTCAGCTGCCCAAAGTCTTCACACATTAAAATAGCCCCAAGCAGTGGTTGATACAACAAGATTAAAAATTATAAATTACTGAGTAGCTCTATTAGTCTGTCATACTGTATTGGGGTTCTCCTTGTTCACACAGCTAGCATTAACTATGGATTTACTCAAGTGTATGTCTCACTTTATTTATCTGCTTTCTAATCTTACATTTGTTTCCCCACACACTTTCCCATTGTTAAAAAAAAATTTCCATCCTATTTGCTCATCGATATCAAATTTAAAAAACCATGCCGTAAGTCAAACACCAGGAAAGAAAAAAATATACGGTTCTGGCTTAGTTATTAACACTGCTGGCATCTGAGTCAGAGACTGTGGATTCAAGTCCCATGATGGACGCAAGCACATTGTCCGATGAATAATGTTTAAGTTGACAAAAATAAATCATAGCAGATTTTAAAAAATATGGAGTTTTCCTTTATTTAGCCAACATCTTCCCTCCCACCAAATTAAATGTCAGAAGATACGGCTGTGACGATGTGCAGTAATATGTATCAATAACCGGTAAACTGGAGGGACAGTCAAATGATGGTGCAGTGATTGTAGAAACATATAAAGATTTATAACTAATTTTACATAATTCTATGAAGTCAACAGGAGGAAAAAGTAAGAATGGTATATTATGGTCAATTGATAATCTCGGGCCCTCCCATGAAATTGCAAGTTCCACTCATTATCTGGACATCCATACTGTGCACAAATTGGCTTCTGTATTCGTTTCACTTTAATTGAATTACTGTTCCAACAGTTATAAAGCTTCTTTAGACATTTTAAAGAGATGCTGAGACATCAGATAAATACAAGCTCTCTTCCTTGTGGAGTGAATTCTCCATAATTGACCATGTATTTAGAATCTTAACATTCTTGGTTATCTGTAGGTCAATGACATTTTTCCAAATATTATTGACTGCAGAGATAGGTGGGAGGAGTAGGCGAGTCAACTTAGTCATGTTGCCTGCTAAGTGACTATGTGTGGAGGCAAGCAACATCAGCAACAAAGACATTAAAAGTCAGAACAGCAGTAATGTGCAGTAAAATACATCACTAAGGTAAATGGTGAGTCTACAGATGCTAGAAGGAGAAAAGATTACAGTGAAAATCACATTTACATAGAATGATTTATGCATAACTTTATACAACTTTATAATTTACACACAGATTTACATAGGTATTTATAATACATATTTGTAATATATCTATTCTGAAATTGCATATTTTGTACATTCTTGATGCTTATTCATTCATTTTCAATGGCAATGGACAGGTAATTAACAAACTTATTTGTAAGATTAGTGTGGAATAGTCGGAATTCATCTTTTAATTCTTCATCATGTTAAATTTAGGAACATATAGCAGACCCACGTTTTCATTTTAAAAAGTATAAACTCAATGTAAAGTTTCTTTATACTTCGATCTGGGAGCCAAAAAGGTCAGAAAGTCATTTTAGCATTAATTAGTAATCCTCACTGATGTTTTCTTTTAAAAAAAGACACAATATATAAATATTGTTTACTATTTGTTTTTGTGCATATGCAAACAAATGGGGATGAAGAAAGAGAGGGAAGAAAGAAGTGGGTGGGGAAGAGAGAGAGAGGTATGGGAAAGAAACAAAGAAGATCATCAAGAAAAATCAATACTAAAGCACATGCAAGAGACCAATTAAATCCCTTTCCAATTGTATTTGAATAATTGTCCAAATAAAACACACAAATAATTACAATACAACAGAATATGAATAATTTTGTAATTTATTCCTAGCAATTCAACTGCTCTAGGTAAAAATGTCAGATTTTACTGTTCTGACAAGAGGTAAATTCCAAATGGATGGGTTTATTATTGAGATATCTTATGACATTTCGATTGAGATGCTGACCATTGAAAAACACTGCAGCTTTAAAATAGGGCTGTTAAGACATGAAATTAACAACATTTCTGGTTACATTTAAAGAGAAATAAAAGTAGGCTTTCAACATGAAAATTGTGAATAAAGCCTATTTCACGGCATTAGGTAATACTTTCTACTGCTTTGAATAAATGTGTAAGCAAACTAGTATAATTACAGTCACTTACACATGTAAGAATTCAACAATCAAAATAACAAACCTGAGAAAAGTGTTGCTACTAGTTTGAGGCTTTATGACCCCTGAGGACACAGAACTGAAGTCTTAGCATCAATGACAATTAAGAAATAATTAAATCTTCTACAGCATCCAACTTGGGTACAAAGCAGGCCAATCTCATTAAAAGCACACTGCAATAATTATTTCTTTCTTGAGTGAGTAAATGGGATAATTGCAACATTTTCAGTAATTTGAGCATTAACAAAAATAGAAACTTAGCATTTACAGTTTCTTAAGAAACCATTAAAACAGAGCCAACAATGAAAATCTGCCTTTCCTTTACCCTGATTGAGGGATCTTTGCATCAGTATCAAGCTGCTGCAATCAGGCATATCTTGATAAATCAAAGTTCCCTCTAGTTTGCCCCAGCCTTGTTAGAACAGTATGACTTCGACGGTGTGAATTTTTTTTCAACCCATGCCTATCAATGTGACATTGGCAATTAGTATGCAATTAAATGTACGTAATTTTGTGCAGACAGCCCAAGTCTACTGGAAACTGTCCAAAGGGCAAGCAGATGGAAGACACTTTGGTCCGATCATTTCTGGTTGGATTTGAAACTAGGTACCTTAGATGACAGGCAGGCTGATCCAGGGCCACCACTGTTCGAAATGCCATTTCTTCCAAAAATTATGCCACACAGTATTCTTATAATCCACATATTATCCATGTACCAGCCAGCATAGAACTCACATAATCACAAGGAATTGGAAATAAGAAAATTGTGTGAATGTTTGCAAAAGGAACAGAAAATACTGGAAAATCACAAATGGCTGAACAGTATTTCAGGACGTTTATATGGATCCCACCCAAACTGCTCTCACTTTACTGACTGATTATGAATTTTTTGAAGAAAAATTATTCCTTTCCCTACATGCCTTTGAAATCCCTACTTGCTTCTCAATACTACTTCTGCCCTTTTCTCACTCTGATCTTCATCTTTAATTGATCTTTTTCATATTGCCTATTTGTTTTTTTAAAGTCATTTGATTGTTCAGGTTCTGGCGGGATGAGGGCAAAGTGTAGAGAAGTGCAAGGGTGACAGATAATGAGCAGGAAAGCCAACAGATGTCTGATCTATGTAAAAGTATGGCAGCAAAACCAGGACACTAAAAAACAGAACCTGATTTAAAAGAGAAATGGCACAGAAGAAAAACATTACAGGATTAAAAGTTGGAATGGTAAGAAATCAGATAGTAAGGGCAATTCTCATGGGCAACAGCCACAGTGCAGCATGTAGGTTCAATACATTGCTGTTACAAAAGTTAACCACTGGAGCATATACAGAATATAAAAGATACAAAACACTATGGATGAGGGAAATATTTTACACAGAAAAATATTTATAAGTTCCTTAAGTGAACATTTCCATTTCAAATTTCCACTGTTCAAGTGCTGGGGTACAACGGTTTCTGGATGTCATCTCCAAATACCCTTTGTTCCTCTGTGAACCTTGACAATCAAAGCAGGCTAACCTTGACAATCATTGCAGGCTCGATGTCTGTAGAAGTATCCCAACCAAGCCTGATTCCATTCACACAAATGCATTTCCAGCAGGGGTCACTGAAGAGTAAACAGGAGTGGGAACCCTCAGCTCCATTTCACCACTTCTGCCCTTCCAACAGTGCATTCTGCACCGCAATCCCACTTCCCACCCCCTACCCATTTCCTTACATAAGCTGTTGAAATCAGTGTTAAGCACAAACTAGGTACTGAACCTGTGTCACATTACCCAAAGTTAAATGGCTTATGATTTACAATAAAAGTTAGAAACGAACTGGTCTCTTCCCTCAAATATGAGTAAAGGAACATTTCTCATGTTTATACCTTATCCTAAGTTTTGTAATTTGAAGTATTTTTGAGGCACAGTTACATGTCATGGAAAATAGGCTTTATTTCCTCAGTATTTTTAAATGAAGGGAAGTGCCCCAACAACTTAATTAAATTGAACCTTAAAAAAAAACTAACCTTTCGCTATTTAACAGTTTTTATTAAAAAACCTGACCAAACAGTCCCTAAAGTTCAATACTCACTCCTCTCAGAATATTGCATATATCTGCAAAAGAGCGGTTATGAAAACTCCTCTCCTCAAATCTTTTGTCAGCAAAACTCAAGAGTATTGAGTAGTGATTTGTTCTATTTGGAAGGGATTGATGGCAAGGATGTGAAATTGAGAATTCAGTTCAGTCACCATGCTTAAAAAAAAAATCAGCTTGATGAAAAATTAGCATTTTATTTGGCCTAAGATGATCAAAAAGGGACTTCTTTTTCTAAAAAAAAGTATCATGCAAAGGTTGTACTGCCTCTTTGGGGCAGCTACAGTACCGGTCCCTCATACCGTACCAGCTTAATTAATAAATAACAAGGCATTGGCAAATTCGGTCTTTTGACAGGCCATGGCTATGAACGTATTAGCTTTTTGTGATTCATTAAAGCAGAAATACTAATTGTGTTAAGATATTTAACCCAGCTACTTCTTTAAATGATTCTTTTAGTTACTGGCAGGCATTCCTTTTTGTCAATTGCTCTGCTCCACTTGGACAGCACCAGTTCCCGGAACAGAAAACAAGATATATTTCCTGCTTATTTCCAATAGAAAATCTGCTCAATCATTCCAGTACAGCAGGCCTCAAAATCCGCTGAAAACTTGGCAATATGTATTTCCCCCTTACAATATTGATAAAATTCAGGCTTGTTCCTTGTCTGCTCGCCACAGTTGCTCCTTAACCTCAGATGGGAGTGTATTGAAGAGATCATCCTCCACCACGAGGCCACTTCGTTTCAGCAGTCGGCATTCTCCCAGTTCCACAGGGAGACACTCCAATCTGTTTCCTCGAAGCTCCAGCTGTGTTAAACTCGTCAGTTCACCGACCCGTGATGGCAGTGATATCAGGCAGTTATTCCCTAGGTTTAGAGTTCGGAGCTTACGACATTGAAACAGTTCAGGTGGCAGGGTTTCAATCTGCATGATATGGCAGGGGAAATAAAAGATAAAGAACAATAATGTTAAATATTTTAACTGCTGCACATGCTGGCTGAAGTAGCATTTATCAAGAAAATGCTCGTTAATTCAGAGAATACCGAAGACATTTTTGGAAACTCTCCAAGTTTTAATTTATAGTATAAACATTTGAAATTTGGAGGAATTAATTTTCACACTGGCTACAGAAGACATACAATTAAACATGCAGTATCCTCCAGCAAATCATTTGCAAACTTATGCCTATATTTGGTTCCTGGGCTTTATGCGTGCACAGAATACCCACTAAAATCAAAGTAATATTTTCATGATATCCACTTTTATAGCACACATCCCCAGTCGTCCAACATAACTCTTGAATAGTATGATTTAAACTGAATGGCTTGGGTGATTTATTTAGAAAAATGTAAACTTCAAAGAATTTTTCTTTGGAAGTAGTTATTTCCAACCCTTATTTCGTTTTAGGCAGCCGGGTGTCATTCCATCTTTCTGCTGGCGAGAGTGCGGAGCTGGGTGAGCATTTATCTGTTTCCTAACACTGTTTTCATGAGCAGGCTTAAGATTATGTATTGAAAATTAAAAATAAACAAAAACAAAAACAAAATCAACTTCATCTATAGCATGTGCAAGAACATATTACAGCCATGTTTAAAAAGGCTTTCATCATTGTCATACTAAGGGCAAATCTCAACTGATGTAATTACAAGAAAAATGCTGCCCAGAATAATCTAACAGCCCTATTTTTAAGGTTCAAGGAACCAGAGCACAAAGCAGCTGAGGAGATGTCTAAAAGGCCTCAACATCAATCACTTAAAGAAAACACAAACTAATTCAGTTCTTACTTGCAAACTAAAAGGTGAATAAATTAAAAAAGGGAAACTGTAAGATTAAAAAAACAGAGATAGTAGGAACTGCAGATGCTGGAGAATCCGAGACAACAAGGTGCAGGGCTGGATGAACACAGCAGGCCAAGCAGCATCATAGGAGCAGAGAGGCTGACGTTTCGGGCCTAGACCCTTCATCAGAAAAGGGGGAGGGGAAGGGGGTTCCGAAATAAATAGGGAGAGAGTGGGAGGCGGATAGAAGAGGGATAGAGGAGAGGATAGGTGGAGAGGAAACAAACAGGTCGAAGAGGCGGGGATGGAGCCAGTAAAGGTGAGTGTAGGTAGGCAGTTAGGAAGGGGATAGGTCAGTCCAGGGAGGACGGACAGGTCAAGGGGGCGGGATGAGGTTGGTCGGTAGGAGATGGAGGTGCGGCTTGAGGTGGGAGGAGGGGATAGGTGGGAGGAAGAACAGGTTAGGGAGGCAGGGACGAGCTGGACTGGTTTTGGGATGCGGTAGGGGGAGGGGAGATTTTGAAACTTGTGAAATCCACATTGATACCGTTGGGCTGCAGGGTTCCCAAGCGGAATATGAGTTGCTGTTCCTGCAACCTTTGGGTGGCATCGTTGTGGCACTGCAGAAGGCCCAGGATGGACATGTCGTCTGAGGAATGGGAGGGGGAGTTGAAATGGTTCGTGACTGGGAGGTGCAGTTGTTTATTGCGAACCGAGCGTAGGTGTTCTGCAAAGCGGTCCCCGAGCCTCCGCTTGGTTTCCCCGATGTAGAGGAAGACACACCGGGTACAGCGGATGCAGTATACCACATTGGCAGATGTGCAGGTGAACATCTGCTTGATGTGGAAAGTCTTCTTGGGGCCTGGGATGGGGGTGAGGGAGGAGGTATGGGGGCAGGTGTAGCACTTTCTGCGGTTGCAGGGAAAAGTGCCGGGTGTGGTGGAGCTAGAGGGGAGTGTGGAGCGGACAAGGGAGTCACGGAGAGAGTTGTCCCTCCGGAAAGCAGATAAGGGTGGGGAGGGAAAGATGTCTTTGGTGGTGGGGTCGGATTGCAGATGGCGGAAGTGTCGGAGGATGACATACTGCAGACCATATAAGCATTTATATTAGATATCAAAACCAGAACTCAAGGCTGAAGAGATTTGATCCCGGTTAAGTTTCCTTCAAAATTTGTTACCTTCATGGTAGTGGAGGGAAGGTCTACTGAGCAGACATTTTTACAGGGTTAGCAAACAATAATATTAGTGATATATGTACAAAGATATTTAGATTGTTCTACGTTAATGATTAGAAGACAGCATTCACGATGGGCAGAACAACAACTTTAATTTATGCACTGCCTTTAATACAAAAAATGAGCCAAGACACCTCACAAAGACATTAAGAAGCAAATTATATACGGAGTTATGTTAAGAGAGACAAGGGTAGCTGGAAAAATGCTTGGTCAAAGAGGTAGCATTTAAGGAGTCACTTAAATAAAGAAAGAGCAGAAAGGGGAGAGATTTACCAAAAGAATTCCAGAGATTGAGGTTCAGTCTACTGAAGGCACAGCCTGCAATGATTAAGTGACTAAAATCAGGGACTTCAAAAGGCAGGAATTATAGGAGAGCACAGATATTGCAGAGGTTTTTTGGGCAGGACGGTATTTCAGAGACCAGCATGTGGAAGGATTGGAAAAGAAAGATGAGAATTTTTAAAAATCAAGACATTGCTTGACCAAGAGCTAACAAAGGTCAGTGAACACAGGGATTCATAGGTGAATGGGACTTGGATAGAGTCATGACATGGGCAGCAGAGTTTTGGATGACCCCAAGTTTATGAAGAGCAGAACTTGGGAGACCAGCAATTCTGTATTTTAATAGTCAAGTCTACAGCTACGAAAGGCATGAATTTTAGTTTCAGCTGATGCAGGGGGACAGGAGTGCGACGGAGTAATGTAACAAAAGTGGAAGTTGGATATCTTGGTGGATGGCACTGATGTGAAGTAGGAAGTTCATCTCAGGGTCAAATGTGACACCAGATTGCAAACAGACTGGATTAGTCTCATACTACTGCCAAAGAGTGGGATGGAGTTAGCAGCTCGGAAACAGTATGGTGCAGTGTCTTCAGATTTTCCAATATTTAATTGGGAAGAGGGCAAAACAGATGAAAATCTAGTTTAATAGTGAACATATATTTATGAAGACTTGAATGCGCACACTCACCCGGTTTGCAGTGACAGCAAAATACTGCAGATTCTGAAGGAACCCGATGTCCTGTGGTATAGATGTCAGGTTATTATGACTCAAATCTAAGTACCGCAACTTGCGACAATAGAACAGCTGAGCAGGAATCTTTTCAATTTTGTTCCGGTTCAGGTAGAGCCTTTCCATGTTGGTCAAAGTGCCAACCTGAATGGGGATATAGGCAATGTGGTTATACCACAGCTTAAGGCAGACTAGGCGCCGTAGGTGCTGGAAACTGATAATTTCCTCGATTGTCTTCAAGTTGTTGTCTTTGAGATCGATCTCCTGTAAGTTATGGAGACTGAAGATGGAGTGTGGGATTCGTTCCAGATCACAACGGATTAACTCCAATTCTGTCAGATTAACCATCTTCTTCAGGCTATTGAGGACCATAAGCTTGGTGCCCTCATTGTTGATAGACAATTTCTGCAGATGGACTCCAACATCTGTGACAACCTGTGGCAACTTTGTTAGGTTGCTCTTCAACCTCAAAACTTTGAGGCATTTGAGTTCCCGTAAGCCATCAATCACGATGTAGCGATTGTTCTCTGCACTCAGGTTCCCAGTTAGGTGAAGCTCTTCGAGGTTCTTCAGGCTGTAGATCCATAGAGGAATCTCTTTGATGTCTGTAAACTTGATATGTAGTGACTTCAGATGCTCTCGTAAGAAGGCAAGAGCTGGTGCCTCAATCTTTGCTGGCGTGTGGTACAACCAGAGTTCTTTGAGGTTAGTAAGTTGGGCAATGATTGGAGGAATGGTGACATCCAAGATCATCTCCAATTTGAGCACTTCCAGTTCAGTCAGGTCAAAGATGGTGTCTGGGATTCCACTCAGCATGAAGAGGTGGAGTTCCAGTTTGTCCTGAGAGTTTTTCATGATCCTCTGGCGGAGTTTTTCTAGGGTCCATTCATTATTCAGATTGAGCTGTCGTAATTTGTTCTCACTGACTTCAGACAGAAAGACAGCAAAACGTTTGGAGTACAATGGATCATACTGATCAATAAGATGCAACATAAAAGCAAAATCATTCTTGACATCAGGAATATCACTGTAGCTACTCTCCTCTCGAATTGACTCGAATGAATACTTTTTCAAAGAAAGGCGTACCATCCACCAGAGTGTGTACATGCAAATAAGTCCATAGACAATCACTAAACTAATGTAAAAGGATGCAAGGATCTTGAACAGTGTAGCTAATGGATGAGCGCATTGATACACATTGTATCCTGTGAGGTTCTGAATGTTTACTATACAGGACACATCAAATTTTATATCATCAACATAATAAAGTGAGTAACTAATAATAAGAGCAAATTTGATTACTTTGATAATAGTCTGTCTCATATAGAGCTGGTAAACTATATCCCCTTCCTCTACATGGGTGCGGAATTTCTTTACTTTTTCAAACAGAGCTTTAGCTTGCTCTCCCTCCTTCTTATCCAATACACCGGTTTCCGAGTGATCGACTATTCCCTGCTCAATGCGGGATTTCGTTCTTTGCAGCATGGGTACACTGGCCTCCACATCCTCACTCACCGTAGAGGATTTCTTTGCCATTGAACCATTCATTTTAGCAAAAGACTGCTTTGGGTCACTTTCCTCTGCCACAGTTTCAGATAGTGCCCGTGTTGTCCATGGTGAGTCAAAACATTTCAGAAGGATGGATACAAAGTGTTCCAGCTTTGAGCTGGTTCGAGGATATTTGAACCAGAAATTGCTACATACTAAGAACACCAGCGTGTGTAGAAGTACAAGGTAGGGAAAATATTTTGCAAACCAATGAAGTTTATTCTCATAGCATACTGCATCCACGTAGTTGTACTGGTGGCGGTCCAAGTCATACTGGATACCTGTGGGTTCACTGGAAAACGGGGGAATGACTGAAGATGATGGGAGTGTTGCATTTGGGTAATCAAAGGGTTCAAGACATGTATCATTTGCAACCCACTTGCAAGGTAAGCAGATCATTTTGTCTTGCGTGACCTGCAGTGTGCCACCAAATACTGCTATCATTAGCATTACGATGGAGATGTAGTCCGTAAACACGTCCCACCATGGCTTCAAAATGCGGTATGCAGGCTGAGTATCAGCAAAATATCGCAATTCCGTTACTGGAATCATCATGCACCTGAAAATTAGAAGAAATAAGTAACAGAAAGAGCTTTAATAACTAGGATCTCACAAGGATAATAGTAAGCATTGTAAATCTTTACACCACATACACTCAGGTGCATAATTATAGATTTTACTCTTCGTAACTTGGTTTATGTCTTCATGGAAAAATTATTTTAAATGATATAAAACAAAGTAAAAACAAATTAAGGTGTTGAATGAAGAACAGGTAAATGCATACAAGTGATCTGAGGTTTGTTCATAAAAGCTGGGGAAATGCCACTATGTAAAGATAGAACCATTATGCCACGTGTGTATACTATTTCTAAGTTGTGTGTAATCTGAATGCTCCTCAATGTCAACTTTTTGCAGCGGATTATGGACAAGGACCACAAGCCACAAGTGAATGGCTCACATGATTAAAATGGTTCTTCCTCAAGCATCATAATGATTAAATATCAAATGCAATATAATCATTTTGATAAAAGCGCTCCCACGTTAAATGAAAAATAACTCAAAACTGTTTAAATCAAATAAGGTACTTTAAAATTCATAGCATTTGTAGCTGTTAACATAAGTATTCAATGTGCTTACTAATACTCATTAATAAAAAGATATACAAATAGTAATTTGGTGGTACAGAACTTGAAGCGTTTTATCTTGCACTCATTAGGACAATTCACAAGAATATCAATGTAAAGAGTAAACAACTTTTATACTATATGAGAGGACAGTGCTGAGTTATTGGCAGGTGGACTCTAGATGGCAGAGGCATTGCCATGGAGAACAAGCCACGCTTGCAACAATGTGCAATGTTAGATGTGATTCCAAGACTGGACAGCATTGGCTAAATAATCCTGAGCGTGCAAAGAGTTACAATGACAAAATTATTTAGGATTGTCAGCTTTGCATTGACAGACTTGTGTTTACCAGAAGTTACATATATTAGTTACTAATATAATATATATATTAGTACACACCTTCTTCTTTGCAAACAAAAAGAACATGTACACACGTCGAGTTTAAACACAACAATATAAATGACAGCATTTTTTGGTTCATTTCTCCGGGCAAAGTCTTAGCCAATCTGATTCAACCTACCTCATTTAAAATTTAAATAAAGTTTGGTGATTGACTGTCAGTCATCTTTATTGCATTATTCATGGCAACACCCATACCAGAGTCCACTGCAAACTAATCCATAGTCTCCTCTCACATGCATAAATAGTGTTTTCTCTTTATGTTGGTAATCCATGTGAATTGGCCTGATGAGTTTAAGACAAAAAGCTTTGACAAAATGGATCTTTTTCACAGCAACACTGAAAAGACAGACGCCTGACCGTAGAATGGATTTGCGACTCATTAAAAAAATACACTTAAACAAGAATTTAAACCCATATAAAATTAGTCAAAATTGCTCGCTTAGATGTTTCTTCTCTATTTCCTCTTAGTGTTTTTTTGTGCTGCTCATCCCAGCTTCAGCCGGCACTCTACTTCCCAATTTTGCACAGCTTTTATCTGCCGCCTGATGTGTTTTCATCTAGTACACCATGCTACCTCCGCTTACGTATGCCAATATTTAATCAATGAAGTTCCTGGAGGAAAGAGAAACATTTTGTAGCCATGGCCAAACAATAAGCAAGAGCTGTTCTTCTATTAGCTGGAATCACCTAAAATAAGATCATAAGACTATAAGAAAGAGGATCAGGAGTAGGCCATTCAGCCCTTCGTGCCTGCTCTACCATTCAATGGGATCATGGCTGATCCAACATTCCTCAAATCTAGTTACCTGCCCTTTCCCCGTAACCCTTGATTCCCCGATTGATCAAGAATCTAACCATCTCAGCCTTGAATACAGACAAGGACTTGCACTGCTCTCTGTGACAAGGAGCTCCAAAGATTCAGAACCCTCTAAAAGAAGAAATCCCCCCTCATCTCAATGTTAAATTGGCACCCCTTTATTTCTGGACATCCTGCCAGACCAGGTGGTGCACAGATGGGACCTCCTCTTCCAGGACCAGCATTGGAGGCCATGAAACCAGACCACACCGTTCTGGCCTGAGGTAGCACCAGAGTTAAAGCTATCCGGAGGAATACATAGTATTGTAGGGGAAAGGCTGATGACCTGCACCAATCTGCCAGCATAAGTGCCACTATCTTTTCTCAAATACCTCACATTAACACAATCATTGCTATTGTATCCACCTCATAGAGCTCATGCCCTATTACTCTCACTACTATCAACAGCATCCCTCATTTGCTTTCATCTTTCCCAATCTCTGTCACCAAGAGCCCTGTGTGCCCTCTGTGTTGCCTACTCACTCGCTCAGGACACCTTCCAATTTTCACCAAAAACAGCAGCTGTACCACCAACTTTCACCTTCTTTAATAACTGCCTCTCTCTCGTTACATGAGAGAAACAACCCACAATAGGTCAGAAAATGTGAAAACAATTGGGTGGCTGTGCAGGTCACGGATTGGTATTGGAGACCACTCTAGACTTAATGTGCCAGGATCTCTTGAGCAATTGCTATCTTCCTTGACTTGATTAAGGCATACTGACAATTATGACAAGCTTTCTTCCGGTGTGTCTGTGCTAAATAGCAAGGCAAGACAGAAATAACATGAGTCTAGTATCTCTCGCTGAGTGAGCAGCACATAAAAAGGCAAAACAAGTTGGTGCAAAGCAGGGATGCTGTGAAGAACAGAGGGAGGCAGTGAGAAACGACCAAGGAGGATTCTGGAAGATGTTGGTTCAGTCACCACAACTGCAAACGGGATCATGGAGGACCCAGTATCAAAGAACAGTGGGTAAAAAAGGAGATGGTGCGCTAGTCTGGTCAAAGATGGGGTCAATGTCCTTCAGCGAAAGGCAATTCTGGAATTAGAATCTATATGCTTGGAGGTGAGAAACAGGAAGGGAGTGATGACCTTTTTAGGTATTTATTATGGACTCCAAATAGTCAGAAGTCGAAGAGAGCATTTGTAGGCAGATAATAATAATCTGCAGGACAAGCAGGGTTGTGATAGCTTGTGATTTCAATACCCTGGGTAGACTGGGAAAGAGGTAGTGTATGGGGTATGGAAGGGAAGAAATTCCTACAGTGTGTACAGGAGAATTTTCTGGAACAGTATATTTCCAGTCCTATCAGGGAGGGAGTAGTGCTGGATCTGATCCTACGAAATGAGGCAGGTCAAGTGGAGAATGTCAGAGTGGAGGAGCATTTGGGAAATAGCAATCATAATATATTAAGGTTCAATATTAAATTAGAAAAAATAAAAATCAGTCAACGATATAGGTCCCAGACTGGAAAAGGGCACATTTTAGGGGTCTAAACTGGCGCAGGTTGATTGGAATCACATTTTGGTGGATAAAACAGTGGATGAAAAATGGGAAAACTTCAAAAGAGAGATGAATAGGGTACAAGCTAGGTACATACCCATAAGAAATCAATATAGGGTATCCAAAGCTACAGTACCTTGGATGACTAAGGATATTGATGAGAAAATAAGGAAGAAAAGGGAGGCATATGATGCATACCAAACTAATGTCAATACAAATCAGGAAGAATATCTCAAATGCAGGAGAGAGGTTAAGATTGGAATAAGGAAGACTAAGAGGAAGCATGTTGAAAGGATGGCAGGCTGCGCTAAAACAAATAGTAAAATATTCTTCAAACATATTAACAGTAAAAGATTAGTGAAGGATAGAGTCTAGACCATAAAGAACAAGCAGGGTAAACTGCTCACTAAAGCAAAAGGATATGGCCGAGGTACCAAATGAATATTTTACTTTTGTCTTTACCAAATTAGAAGACAGTGACAATGGCTTAGTTGAAAATTTGGCTGTTCAGGAAGTGAGCAGTATAGTGATAGATAAAGAACAGGCAGGAAAAAGGCGGGCCGCACTCCAGGTACAGAAGTCACCAGGTTCAGATGGATGCATCTTAGATTACTGAGAGGGCTAAGGAAGCAAATCGCAGAGTCATTGACAGAAATTTTCCAAGCCTATCCAGGGGACTGAAGATCGCAAATGTGACACCATTGTTTAAGAAAGCGGCAAAGGATAACTCAGGAAACTACAGACCTGTCAGCTTGAAATCAATGGTGGAAGGCCATAATATGAGATAAGATAAATATACACAGAGAAAAATAAGTTAATACTCGAGTCGACATGGTTTTATCAATGCTCGGTTATCTCTGTCGAATTTAATTATGTTTTTTGAAAGGGTGACACAGGCAGTGGATGAGGATAGTATTGTGGATGTTGATTATTTCGAATTTCAGAAAGCATCTACTACAGTGCCGCATGGCAGTTGGTTAGCAAATCAGAAGTGTTTGGGATTGTTGGGCATTTCTCAGATTGGAGACGAGTTGAAAGTGGTGTTCTGCAGGGATCAGTATTGGGACCTTGCTTTTTCTTATTTATATAAAACTATTTGAGATGAGTTTTGAGTGCAAAATCTTTAATTTCGTAGATGATACAAAGCTAGGGAGAACAGTTAATTGTGAGGAATGGTTGAGCGACTTCAGAGAAACATTGACAAAATTGGCCAAATGGGTAGACAGCTGGCAGATGAAATTCAATGCAGAGAAATATGAAGCAATGCATTTTGGCAGAAGAAACACAAAGAATATAGGCTCAATGGTACAACTTTGAGAGGAGTACAGAAGCAGAGGGAACTTGAGGTTCATGTACACGATTCCCTGAAGGTGACCAGGCAAGTTGAAACAGTTGTTAAGGCGGCTTACAGGATCCTTAGGTTTATGAAAGCAGGACAAAGAGTATAAAAGGAAGGAAGTGATGCTACATCTCTACAAATCATTGGTCAGACCACTTTTTAAGTATTATGTTGAGTTCTGGGCACTTATTTAAGGAAGAATGTTAAGACCCTGGAGTTCAAAGGAGATTTTCTAGAATGATACTAGGAATGAGGGATTTTAGATACAAGGAAAGATTGGAGAAATTGAGCTTTTTCTCCTTGAAGCAGAGAAGACTAACAGGTGATCCTATTA